ATAAGGGATTTGATCAATGCTAAGCATGCCATCACTCCCCCACGAAAGCTCTTAAGCCTCGACCAAAAGGCATAGTTATAAACACCATAATCAATATATGCGACACAATGGCTGCACAGACTGAGAGTCCCCTCCAATGACAAAGGGTCTAGGAAGACAAGTTACATGAAACCAGTTACATAAAAGAACCCAAAAAGGGGAAGAGCGAGAGAAGCCCATAAAGACAGACCCCTTTGCACCTCGCTAGCTCAGACAATGCAATAATATTTTTCATAATTTTCTGTTCAGTCGTTCTCTTTTTTTGTTGTTGGCTGGTTGTTTGCTTGGTTGTTAACCTACAGTCAATTAATGTCCCATAATTTCCAACTTCATATATGGACAGAGGCGACCCGCGAAGGACGGATCGAACGGTCTTCGAGACCTGCAACGGTACCTAGACTCGACTTTCTCAACTTGTCATAAGATTTCTGGATATTTTTTTGTCTGTCTTTTAATTGCTAATAGGTATTTTGATCGTTCAGGGATCGTGGGTCTGGCTCAGTCTGGTTAATCAATATGAAAATGCCGCCGGAGCGGAGCGCGTCAAATGAAAACCGATCCCGATATCGATCCCGAATGGCGATGGGGATCCTTGGCGTTCATTTAACGATCGATATGGAAGCAGTCTTCTGCCCCTTCTCCTCTGTGCCCTGAACCTACTCCAATCGTCAGCTAATTTCCATGTCTGAGTTTTGGTTCCATCTGTCGATTGGAGCCCCTTCCTTCTTGTGGGCTTCTTTTACGGCTGCCTCTTTCGGCATCATTAACATTTTCGAGATTTAATCATCAAACATGGCGCAGCGTCGAATCTTCAGCTCAGCTCAGCTCAGCTCGGCTAAGCTCCGCTCTGTTCGTTGCGTTTCGTTTGGCTGGCTGGTGGTAATGATGGCATGTTCTGTCTCTTGTTTAGTTGCTTGTCGTACATGCGCTTTTATCGGCATTTAAAATATATCCATAAACAGTTCGAGGAGCAGCAATCATGGCAGATGTGGAGGCAGCTACCAGCTACCAGCTACCAGCTAACAGCTAGCTGCGCATGTTACTCGCCTTCCATCAGTTTGAGGCGCCACAGTGGAGGGTTACTTCCCACCGAATCCCACCGCTTCAATCAGTTCGGTGGCTGGCCAAATTGGAAGGTAATCGGATATACCTATCCCAGTCATAAATGTCCGCGAGATTAGAGTATTGCATAAAGCTGGTAGATGTCGTAATTATTAAAGATGAGTTTGCTTTCGGTTACAAGAATGGATACTTTAATGGGTAAATAGATAGAGCCTGAATAGGAGGTCCATAGTGTTTCGAAATGCTGTATGGATTCCCTTTAAGAAAGCTGCATTTTCCTTTCCATTTCCCGCCCAACAACCCGCATCTGAGACCCATTCCTTCAGTCAGAGGAATACAGCATTTTCATTGATTTCAATTTGCCTGCGTTGCGACGCCATATTTCAATTTCTGACCGACGCACAATTTACAAGCCTTAGCATGTGTCTCCAACGACCGTGCCCCAAGCTCACTCGTACTCGTATCCCATATATCTGTGTCCCTTTCGTGTGTGTGCAGACAGCGAAGAAGATAGCAGGAGCGGCAGCAGGAGCAGGACAGTGGACAGACAGCTTAATTGATGAACAAAGGCGTTTGGGCCAAAAGTTGTGCGTTTGTTTAAGAGATAGCAGAGAGCCATGTCTGTGTCTGGGCCCTGGACAGAGAGAGAGTCTTTTTGCAGAGTCGAACCAAAGTTGAGGACTTGCAGAAGTCGTACAAAATATTTAACACCCGCTGAGCGTATTTATGGGAGAATGAACCTGTGTGTCCTACTCCTTCTCATCATCAGCGTCCTCCCCGTAGTCGACGTCGTGGTCTTAGTCGTCGTCGTCGTAGTCATCTTCATTCCCCATCCACATTCACATCGTCATCCTCCATGACTCCACCATTTTGTCTTAGACGGGGCCAATGCATGTACAAGTGAGTATGTTGGCTGACAGGAGCGCTATAAAGGACGTTGATGTGTTTCTTGCATTTGATTTAAAGGGAATTACTTTGGCTTACTATGCAGGCACATCAAAATTATCCATAAAAGTTCCTTAATCCATTTATCCTAATTATGTAGGGAAAGCTTTTCTTGCGTTAAGCAACTGAAACCGCTCCTGTTCTTCCACTCTCTTTCTCTCTCGCTCTCTCTTTTTACAACAATCTTTTTCTCTTTCTCATACACATGGAAGATTTGCAATTCCAATTGGCGCGACGTCTTCGCTTCGCTTCGCCTAGGTCTTGCTCCTGCTGCTGATGATTAGTTGTCGTCTCTCTGTCTGTCCCACTCTCCCCTGCTCACTCCCTCCCTCTCTATCTATCTCTCTCTCTCTCTCTCTCTCTCTCTCTCTCTCTGGCGCTCACTCACATCTCCCTTTCTCTTTCCGTGGCGCTGTGGAGCTTTCTATGGCTTCGGCCTGGGCCACGTTTAACCTTCTTTTTATTGCACACACGATGCAATTATTTGTTTTATTAACTGTTGAACATGTTTTCTGCGCACATCGCGCCATGTTTTCCCCACTGATATATAAGTCGCTTCCAAATTGTAAATTGCAAATTTTATTAATTTCTGTCCATGGGAAACTTGTTCCCTCCTCGATCGTGGCGCTCCGTGTGGCCTTTATTTTGTTTGGCTTTTTCGTTTGATTTGGGCTGGGTTCTGGCCGATGCGGTGCGGTGCTGTGGGTTTCCATTTGGTAAAAATTAAATGATATCTATGGCCATTATTAAATGTACAATTAGCCTTTTAAGGTATCTTTGATGGGCTGGGCAATGGAGTACGAATAGGGAAATGGCTAACCCTAATTGCACAGAACAATTTACTTCTCAAACTACATTGAAGCTCAAATGTTTCATTAGTTAATAGCCAACCAAAATACAGAATGTGTTGGTTTTTCATCAAGGGTTTTGGGTTTTGGGATCCATAAAAGTCAACTACATGAAACCCATTCCCCCCCTTAAAAGAGTAATCAGTTAAGCAAACATAATAAAAGGCTAAGCGGCCTTTTGCGACATTTTGATAAATATCGAATCAAAATAATGCGTCAAAATAATTAATCACGATTAAGCAGTCAGCCAGTCAGCCAGTCAGCCAGTCATCCAGTCAGTGGCTTGGAACGGGGGGCTTAGGCTTAGCCACGCCACTGCTAATGATCGATAAATGAGGTACGGGAGTGAGGGAGCAAAGTGGGAGCAGAACAAGTGATTTTCATCACACGCCATTCCCAAATTAGTGGAAAACAAAGAGAAAAACTAACCCCTAGAGGAATAGCTCGCACCCCTCTTACCGCGCCTGCATCATGAGTCCAACACTTTGCAGAGGCAAAATGTCACATAATCGGGAAAATCAAATGCAAATGTAATAAATCCGTGTGAAATGCGCTCAGTGGGCGGGTCCGTGTCCAACCCCGGATTTGTATTTATTTACTTACCGACTTTCGGGCGCATAATTTAAGGCCTGTCCAAAGGGAATAATCCACCCGAAGCGAAGTCAATTTATATTCATAGTTGTTTTCCAAGTGTGGGAACTCTGGCATGTGGTTTCGCATCAGTCAGTCTGTCAGGACTATGGAAACCCTTTTTGCTTGTTTTCCCCCAAAAATCTATGCATTTCTTTTTTGTTTTTTCTGCATGAGTGCATTCCGTTTTTTAATGAGTGAATGGATTCCACTTGTTGAATGTTAACCAATGGGGTTGCCCCTCCAAAAAGTTTCCTGTGTTGTAAATAAGTTAAATGTGAACGAAATTTGATTCAATTATGCACCACAAAGGGTTATAAATCAACTGTGTAGCCTAGCTCTTCCTTTTTCGATACTGTCACCGTTCGTTTGTGTTGATTTTAATCAAAATCGGTGTTGGGCAAACGATCATTCAAAAGCGGCCCCAAGGGTAACATTTGATGGCTTTTAGCACGTGCAACAGGCCACAAGCCGCACCAGAGTGCCACGACTGTGGGTGGTGCTGGGGGGGGGTGTCGTGTCGGCTGTCCGCAACCCTTAATTGCGCGTGTAATCTGGGTGCCCAGGGGCTGTGTCAGGCGGGGGGTTGGAGAGGCTCTAATGCCCTGTAAATGCAACAAAACAGCTTGTGTGCACAGGGGATTGACTTTGCTGTGAAGTAAAGTGCCGTTGATGATGTGATTCCGTCTCTGATGTGATTTGATTTGATTAGTTTGCATTGCATTAGCGGAAGATTGATGAAGCATACGTCAAATAACATGTAAAATGCACAAGAACGTAAGCCGACTTGATTGTTTGACAATAAGTAATTTGTAATTTGCAATGACTTTTAAAGTTTTGATGTCTAATTTTAAATTTAATTTTTAAAATCAATCAATTTACCCATCATTGGGAGTTTAAGAAAATAAACTAGGCCGCAGAGCATATGGTCTTCCTCTACAAGGGGAGAAGCAAGTCCAAATATAACTTGAAATTTCAAATTGCTGCTGCACAAAAGCTGTTTGGTACGAGCTATGTTAAGACAGTGCTGTTAAACTCAGTTTTTACATGCTGAAACCAGTGACTCTGCTGATGGTATAGGGTATGAAGGCAGGCATAAGAGTTTTATTCCAATTTCGGTGGGATTCTGGGGTATTTTCTCCTTATCCGTAGGGAATTTTGTCTGTCCCTTCTCTTTCGCAACGTGGGTGTTTTCTTCGCTAAAATGTGCTTGCATTCGATTCTCAACTACATTTGTACGGTAAAATACATTTGAATCGGCTGTTTTCCCCAACATGGGTATGGAACGAGCAACATTCTGCTACCTTTGCGAAAGAAAATATATAGATCTGTTGTAAGACTAATTTAAGAAAAGTTTCTCGATGTACATACCGAGAACAGGTTAAACATTATTCAGAATATCAAAATCTGCGAAAATGATTTAGGAAACGGAATGTTCCCGGTATATTTGGAAAATGATAAGGTATTTAAAGGTATATTTTAGAGGGTCATGCGGTATATTTGCTGTATCTCCAAATCCGCGGTCACACTGACGGCCGGTCCACATTCTACTCAAAATTGAAATTTAACAAAATATATGTTATAATGCAAAGGGTATGTGGAAACGAAAATTATGTGATTAAGAAGCTCATTGAATACCTAATATAATTTGTGTATCTTTTTGTGAAGATTGACCAATTCTTCAAGCCAGTGCCAGGCAGCACAAAAAAATCCAATGGGGACGATGAGACGCCATCGAAGGCGCCAAAACGCCGCAAGCCCTTGATAATATCCAGCGATGAGGAGGAAATAGCAGCCAGCCCGCAGGAATCAAAGAAACGGAAGACAAATCGCAAAGTCATATCCAGCGATGAGGACCAGGTGGTCGCCAGTCCAGATGGGTCGCGGGCACAGAAGCGTGCCACAAATGGCGCTGGAGGCAAGAAGCCAGCGCTGTCCAAGCTGAAGCCCATGCAAAAGGTGGATCCCTCGCAGCTGTTTGGCGGCGAGACCAATCGCGTGGAGAAGCCCAAGCAGAAGACGAAGGCTGTCATCGAGTTTGAGAATGAGGATATCGACAAGAGTCTCATGGAGGTAGATCTGGATGAGAGCTTAAAGACGGTGGAACCCAAAGAGAGAGTGGCTGTGGCTCCCAAGTCGCCCTCCCGCAAACGTGCCAAGCCCAGCAGCCCGGAGCCGACAAAGAGGAACAGTCCAGAGGCTTCAAAACCGAAAAAGCGTATCAGCCCAGAGGCAGCAAAGCCAAAGACTCCGGAGCCCCCAAAGCGCAGCAGTCCGGACACGCCAAAGGCCAAAGCAAAGCCCAAGACCACGACGCCACGTGTGAAGAAGGAGAAGCCGCCCGCGGATCTCGAGACGAGCGTGCTGACCGACGAGGAGCGCCACGAGCGGAAGCGCATGTCGGCAGTGCTCTACCAGAAGTTTAAGAACCGCAGCGCCTGCCTCAATCCAGGCAGCAAGGAGATACCCACGGGAAAGCCCGACTGCCTGAAGGGACTCACGTTTGTGGTCACCGGCGTGCTGGAGTCCATGGAGCGGGAGGAGGCCGAGTCGGTAATCAAGGGGTACGGCGGCCGTGTCATGACGGTGGTGGGCAAGAAGCTCATGTATCTGGTGGTGGGTGAGGAGGCGGGGCCCAAGAAGTTGGCCACCGCGGAGGACCTCAACATACCCATCCTGAGCGAGGATGGACTCTTCGATTTGATCAGGGAGAAGTCGGGCCAGGGCAAGAGGAAGCAGGTGAAGGAGGAGGTCAAGAGTCCACAGAAGGAGCAGAAGAGTGAGTCCAGGCCAAAGAAGGAGGAGCCGAAGGTAAAGAAGGAGGTGAAGCAGGAATCTCTGGTCAAAGTAGAGAAGAAAGACTCCCAGGTGAAGAAGGAGAAGGAAGAGGATTCCCTGCCAGCAGTTACCCTCAAGGTGAAGAAAGAGCCCACATCCGTGGACACGTCCCAAGTGCAACAGAGGCCCGTGGAGAAGCCCCTGGATCTGGGCAGCATGGCCTGGGTGGACAAACACAAGCCCACGAACATCAAGGAGATCGTAGGCCAGGCCGGAGCAGCCAGCAACGTAACCAAGTAAGTAGAGCCTTCCCCATGCCGACTTTCTATTGAAACATCTCCTGCGCAGGCTGATGAACTGGCTGTCCAAGTGGTATGTGAGCCACGATGGCAAGAAGAAGGCGCAGCGTCCCAATCCCTGGGCCAAGAACGACGATGGCAGCTTCTACAAGGCGGCCCTGCTGTCGGGACCGCCAGGCATAGGAAAGACAACGACAGCGACGCTGGTGGTCAAGGAACTGGGCTTCGATGCGGTTGAGTTCAATGCCTCCGACACTCGGAGCAAGCGTCTGCTCCAGGATGAGGTCTCCACGCTGCTGGGAAACAAGTCTCTCTATGGCTACGTGAACGGACAGTCGCAGGCGGTGTCCAAGAAGCATGTGCTGATCATGGACGAGGTGGACGGCATGGCGGGCAACGAGGATCGTGGCGGCATGCAGGAGCTGATTGCGCTCATCAAGGACAGCTCCGTGCCCATCATTTGCATGTGCAACGATCGCAATCACCCGAAGATCCGTTCCCTCGTCAATTACTGCTTTGATCTGCGCTTCCAGCGGCCGCGTCTCGAGCAGATCAAGGGCAAGATCATGAGCATCTGCTTCAAGGAGAAGGTCAAGATATCCCCGGCCAAAGTGGAGGAGATTATAGCAGCCACAAACAACGATATTCGCCAGTCCATCAACCACATCTCCCTGATGAGTGCCGGAGAGCAGATTCCCACCCAATCGCAGGCCAAGGCCGAGCCAAAGGTGGCCTGCAAAGACCTAAAGCTGGGTCCCTGGGAGGTGGTGCGCAAGGTTTTCACCGCCGAGGAGCACAAGCGAATGTCTTTTGCCGACAAATGTGATTTATTCTTCCACGACTACAGCCTAGCGCCACTGTTTGTCCAGCAGAACTATCTCCAGGTCACGCCTCAAGGCAACAAGTGAGTCTCGAACATTCCCCAGGAGGAGATCGCTCCAATAACTTACATTATATGTTCTTTCAGAAATGATATTCTTGGTAAAGTGGCAGCCACAGCGGATGCCCTCAGCATTGGCGATATGATAGATAAACGGATCCGTGCCAACTCCGCCTGGAGTCTGCTGCCCACGCAGGCATTCTTCAGCTCTGTTCTGCCGGGCGAGCACATGGCAGGCCATTTCACGGGGCAGATCAACTTTCCCGGCTGGCTTGGCAAGAACTCGAGGACTACGAAGCGGGCAAGACTCGCCCAGGAGCTGCACGATCACACCAGGTCTTGCACCTCCGGCTCCAGGCTCTCCATCCGCCTGGACTATGCACCCTTCCTGCTGGACAACATAGCTCGTCCGCTGGCCAGAGACGGCCAGGATGGGGTGCCCGCTGCACTGGATGTGATGAAGGACTACCACCTGCTGCGGGAGGATCTCGACTCACTGGTCGAGCTGACCGCCTGGCCAGGCAAGAAGTCCCCGCTGGATGCCGTGGATGGCCGTGTGAAGGCGGCCCTGACTCGTTCCTACAACAAGGAGGTGATGGCCTATTCCTACTCCGCCCAGGCGAACATCAAGAAGAAAAAGTCAGAGGCTGGTGCCGGCGATGAGGAGCTGCTGGGCCTAGAAGAGGAGCTCGAAGAGGGCGAAACGAAGCTCGCAGACTCGGATGAGGACGAGGATAAAGATAACCTAGAACTAGATGGCCTGATCAAGGCCAAAAAGAAGTCGACAGCTGCCAGCACGTCGAAGGCAGCGGGCGGTTCCAAGAAGTCGACTGCCGGTGCAACGGCCGCCAAACCCAAGTCCAGGGCTAAAAAGTAAAACAATTTAGTTTATCCACTAATTATTTCATTGGTTGTTATTCCATTTTCGAATCCCTCATCCAATAAAAATTCATGTTGAAATATATCCGCGTCAGTGTTGTAAACCAATTAAGAAAAAATGTCACTCCAGAAATTTGTAAAGTAAGTTAGTTTTCTTCACTTTACTTCCATAGCTATACGCTCCACATCTCATCGGCAGATTCATGAGCACTATAACGCTCCCCATACACTGGGCGAGCATCCACATAAATGATGTCTGGAGAACAGGCAGACCATGCGGTCGCCCATACAGAGCTCCTCCATGCGTTGGCTGTGGCTGCTGAGAAAATGTGACATTACGAGACTCGGGCTGAGAGGTTTTGCACAGCCTTAAATGGGGCAAGGAAATCCCTCGGAATTCGGTGTCTCTGCAGGTGTTTTGCTAATATAATGGCGAAGACCGACTCTGGCGTGGTTGATGGCTAGGAAATCGGGCCGCGGGAACTGTTGGTTGACATAAAACTCGCTGTAGGATTCCCTGTTCGAGGTGCGAATGCACAGCCCCAGGGTCTCGGCCTGAGTGGCCCGCTTCTCGCCGTTTCTCAAGGGTTCGTTCAGGACTAATTGTACAACTCAAATGCATCGATCGTGCCCCCGATCGGACGTCTATGCTGCTCCAGCATGAACACCTCCACAACGTTCACGACGAAGCGGCAACGGAGCAGAGTGCGCCGCCGAATGTCCATGTCCGTTCCAATGGCGTAGTGAAAGAGGACACGGAAGTAGGCGCAGATCATATACTTGGCCATAGCCTCATTCACTGTTCATCGTCTGTGAGCTGCAGTAACGACTTCTAAGTTCACGGATACTCTTGTCCAACTGCTCATCGGAGGACTGTAGTAGCTCCTCCACAGGTCGCCCCAGAAGAAAAAATAAGGGGTAAAAGCCTTCCAACAGGAACCACTGGAATATCATCTCGTCATGTGAGGGACATCGGAGGTGGTAGAATTTCTCCATGTAGTCCAGAATGCGATCGTGCAGCCCATCCACATTGGGCCGGTGATAGGCCATGGTCCACAGGATCTTTTTCGATGGCTCGTCAAGCTCAAAATAGCTCCGAAAGTCCCCTTGCCTTCTTAGAGATTTTCTTAGCCGCGTTGGTCGCTGACCAATTCACCCTTGGACCTAGGCGCACAGACATACCCATTGGGCGCGATGATTTTCCCAATTTTTGGTCGCCAAAGCCAGTCAGAGAAGTAACTTTGAAAGAAAGAGAGACGCAATTTTGGAAACTAATGGCAGACTAACTAGCAGGGAACTCAGCCATTAGCCGAGTCGCCATTAGAAGTAGGGATATCTGAACTGCTCTCTCAATAATGATTGCGATGATTTTGATTACATGTTTAACAAAAATTATTAATTTAATATTTAGTTTTAATATTACCGGAATACATCATACAGAGTCATATATTCCGGAGTCATATATAAAACCTTGAACATGATCGAACCGGATGACTCGAACCAAGCTTCATCCAATCTTGAGCCTGATTCCAACTCGTCCTCCGCCCCTGGACTGGAAGATGCCAACCCAGTCTTTTGGGTGAGTGTAAGTTCCCTGATAGTTAGTCGGAATACATTATTTTACAAAAATACTAATACAAATCAATATAAACCCCTTTCATCAGATGATTAGTTAGACATTGAGAATGATTTTTTTCATAATTTCTGGTGTTCCTTTGGCAAAGATTAATCCAATCCCCAAAACTAAAAACATAAAAAAACGTCCCCCAATCCACTTGGAACATTAGACTTACAATCGAACATTTAATTTCCTCAATTTTATACAGTAGTACCGATGTATCCGATGTTTAAAATATAAATATGGTTAAATTTAAATATAGTCGTATCAAATATATTATTTTTTTTTTGAGGTTTTAAGTTACCGCTCTACCCTTAGGTAGAGGGGAATTATTTGGCCACCCGCCTTTCAAGGGGGAAATCGCCACGTCGTAATATGTAACTTGTTACAGGTTTGCTCCAATACTTACCTCTCCATTTTTATTTTTATCAAATATATTAAATATGTTTTTTTTGTAATTGCTAGAGCGAAATTGGTTGGTCGCAGACAATGAGTCCGCATTGATTAGGTACTTCAGTTTATGTTGAATATTAGAAAAAAGTCACTGAAAATGTTGAACTAAAAATAAGTTGTTTGATTATATTAAATGAATGAATATATTAAATTTAAAATATCAATATATCAACGTTAAAAATTAGAAAATGTCATCGACTCTGTATATCGATATAATACCAACAATCCAAAAATCTACAAGCGGCTCGACGCAGCCAATACCAGGTTGACAATTGACGGTATAGTATATACTTTTCGAGATATTTTAGCCACGAAAATGAGGCTAATGTAAATTTACTCTCGAGTATAGTGGTATATTTAATGAACTTCATCCGCGCTATTTTTAAATAATTTTCAATGGAATTGATGTGTCTATTTTAATAATTACCTGCATTTACATACTGAAGAAAAAGCTCCCTTGCTCCAGAAGCGGTGATTTGTAATAAAGAATACAATCCAATAAAAATTAGTATTTATAAAAAGCCAAATTGATTCTTTAATCAGATTAAATTATTATTTTTTTTAAATTTATTTCGCTACAGCAAAATTGGTTGGTCCCAGACGATGAGTCCGCATTGACCAGGTACTTTATGTTGAAATTGAGAATACAGAAAATTGTGAACTCAAAAAAGAGTTGCTTGCCGAAAGAACACTCTTGTGTTTTCTTCCTTAAACCACCAAGTTTGGTTTTGCACGGACTTGCTGCAAACGAGCTTGACTGGTTATGTATAGATCGATCATAAAAAAAAGTCGAAAGTTGCTTTGCTCGTGAAAATGGCCAGTTCTTCAAGGTGTAAAGGGTGTGACGCGTAAGAAGCGTCTCACACGTCCCTTCTCGTTTAATATGCATACGATCTGTAAGGTCCTTGCTTTTATTTATGTGAATTTCTAGTTTGTTTTTAATGCTTCCAAAAATTTCTCTCAAAAACTCTCCCGCTTTTTCTTGATCACATTTTTCTAATACTTATACTTATACTTATACTTATACTTATACTTATACTTATACTTATACTTATACTTATACTTATACTTATACTTATACTTATACTTATACTTATACTTATACTTATACTTATACTTATACTTATACTTATACTTATACTTATACTTATACTTATACTTATACTTATACTTATACTTATACTTACTATACTTTTACTTTTACTTTTACATATATTTTTACTAATATTTTTACCTTTACTTTTACTTTTACTTTTACTTTTACTTTTATTTTTACTCTTAGTAAAAGAGTTGATTCTTCAAATAGATTATAAAAATCGAGAAACAAGATTGAAGATTATGGTATATTTAAAAAAAAAGACGGTATATTTTTGAGGGTAAGACNTACTTATACTTATACTTATACTTATACTTATACTTATACTTATACTTATACTTATACTTATACTTATACTTATACTTATACTTATACTTATACTTATACTTATACTTATACTTATACTTATACTTATACTTATACTTATACTTATACTTATACTTATACTTATACTTATACTTATACTTATACTTATACTTATACTTATACTTATACTTATGCTTTATGAATATGAATATGAATATGAATATGAATATGAATATGAATATGAATATGAATATGAATATGAATATGAATATGAATATGAATATGAATATGAATATGAATATGAATATGAATATGAATATGAATATGAATATGAATATGAATATGAATATGAATATGAATATGAATATGAATATGAATATGAATATGAATATGTTACTATACTTTTACTTTTACTTTTACATATATTTTTACTAATATTTTTACCTTTACTTTTACTTTTACTTTTACTTTTACTTTTATTTTTACTCTTAGTAAAAGAGTTGATTCTTCAAATAGATTATAAAAATCGAGAAACAAGATTGAAGATTATGGTATATTTAAAAAAAAAGACGGTATATTTTTGAGGGTAAGACCGTATATTTCCGCGGTCACACTATTCGGTTGTTTTCAGCCAACACTTTTTTTAATGGAACATTGAACAAAGTGCCATTTTCAGTTGTCGCGAGCGGGGCGAGAAATTTCTACACGGGTCGCCGCAGCCAATACTCCAGCAAGCTGTGAAAAATGCAATGAAATTGCATTTATTGCGCGATCCAAGCCTTCGAACAGTGGACAAAATTTGAGTGCAAGTGGAATACAGCGACAGACAAGAGAAAACAGTGTGTGCCGATGGTTTTTCGCCGTTCATTTGCTCAAGGGCGCGTTTTTTTCAGTTTGTCACTTGATACAATTTTTATGCGTACAAAATTCCCTAAGTTCTCGCTGTATTGTGTGTATATATGTTTTTGTGTAAAGGGCGCAGCATCGCAAAAGAAGAAACCCGGAGCAACAGCCAAAAATCTATGAGAAAATTCTAGCCCCGGATCTTAATTTAATTGCAATTAATTGCCGTTCAAAGCGACAGTCCCAGCTCTCGGTTCTTTTTTGCGCAACTCGTTTTTGGGCTGAAAATTCAATAAGCACGTAAATTCCGGAACACACCCCAAGCCACCGCACACCCCGCTCTGCTTTCCCCGCGCTTACGCACAAGCACAATACTCCACTTCCCCCACTCGCCCTAAGGAATGCTGGATTGGCAAAGAGAGACAGAGAGAGAGGAAGGCGAATCAAAGGCAAGTGTAGACTTTGACAACAGCAAAATGTGTGGGTGGCCCTTTGCAAGGTACATTTGTGTAGGGCGAGGGACTCGCAGATCAAACTAAAGGGCATATTGTGTAAAGTTCGGATTTATTATAAAAGAGAGTGCATTTTAAATGAAAAAAAGCAGCTGAAATGACTCACATTGCAGGGCATACATATTAAATATGTGCATACATTAGCATAAGCTGCCGATAAGAGACCGCTCTCTGGGACTTCCTTACCTTCTCAGAAATATACCGTGCCCTGGGCCCCCTCAAC